GCTACTCCATTAACAAAACTAACCAAGAAGAATGTGAAATATGAGTGGGATGAAGCACAAGCTCAGGCCTTTCAGATGTTAAAAGATAAGCTATGCAGTGCACCAATTCTATCTTTACCAGATAGAATGGAGGATTTTATGGTATATAGTGATGCGTCAAAGATGGGTTTGGGTTGTGTACTAATGCAACGTGGAAAGGTAATAGCTTATGCTTCCAGACAGTTAAAAGATCATGAAAGACAGTATCCTACTCATGATATGGAATTGGCAGCAGTAGTGTTTGCTTTGAAGATATGGAGACATTATTTGTATGGAACGAAGTACCAAATCTTCACAGATCATAAGAGCTTGCAACATCTGTTCCATCAGAAGGATCTGAATATGCATCAGAGAAGATGGTTGGAATTAGTAAGTGATTATGATTGTGAAATTATATATCATCCAGGAAAGGCAAACGTAGTAGCCAATGCATTAAGTCGAGAAGAGAAAAGTGGAACCATCAAAGCTATAGCATTACGAGTTGAGTTATTACCCAATATTCAAGAAGAGTTACGAGAGTTTCAACGTGAGGCCATGAAAGAAGATAAGATTAAACAAGAAAGATTGGGTGGATTGGTATCTGATCTAGTGAGAGATGACATAAAATTTTGGAAGTTCCAGAACATAATTTGGGTACCATGTTATGGTGATCTCAGAAAGCGTATTTTGAATGAAGCTCATAAGTCACGTTTTGCAATACATCCAGGTACAAATAAAATGTATCGGGATTTGAAGCAACATTATTGGTGGCCAGATATGAAGAAAGATATTGCTAAACATGTTGAACAATGCCTGACATGTCTTCAGGTAAAGATTTAACATCAGCGTCCCTATGGTAAGTTACAATCTTCAGGTTTGGAAGTGGGATCATATCACTATAGATTTCATAACCAAATTGCCGAGAACATCGAAAGGGTATGATGCAATATGGGTGATAGTGGATCGGCTGTCTAAATCTGCATACTTCTTACCTATGAAAGAGTCATATTCGATGGAGAGATTGTCAAAGTTATACATTGATGAGATAGTGACACGACATGGTGTTCTTCTATCAATTGTTTCTGATAGAGATAGTCAGTTCACTTCTATATTTTGGAAGAGTTTTCAAATAGAAATGGGTTCACAAATTAAGTTAAGCACAACTTATCATCCTCAGACTGATGGACAGAGTGAGCGAACTATCCAAACTTTAGAAGATATGTTGAGATCCTGTGTCATTGATTTTGGAGGGTCRTGGGATAGTCATTTGGCTTTGGTAGAATTTGCATACAACAATAGCTATCATTCAAGTATTCAGGTAGCACCTTTCGAGGTTCTGTATGGACGAAAATGTAGAACTCCTTTGTGCTGGAATGAAATAGGTGAAAAACAGTTAGCCGGGCCTGAGTTAGTTCAGCAAACTGCAGATAAAATTGGAGTAATACGGGAACGAATGAAAGYKRYACAAGATAGACAAAGAAGTTATGCAGATAAACGTCGGAAGCCGATTGAGTTTCAAATAGGTGATAGAGTAATGTTAAAAGTAGCACCTTGGAAAGGAGTGGTGCGTTTTGGAAAAAGAGGGAAGTTAAGTCCAAGATATATTGGACCATTCACAATTATTGGAAGGGTTGGAGAGGTGGCCTACAAATTAGAACTTCCTTTGGAATTAAGTGGAATTCATGACACGTTTCATGTTTCAAATTTGAGGAAGTGTCTAATAAGTCCAGATGTGGCAGTACCATTACCAGAGATTAAGGTAGATGAGAAATTATGTTTTGAAGAAACCCCTGAACAGATTACTGATTACAAAGTAAAGAAGTTACGAAACAAAGAGTTGGGTTAGTAAAAGTTCAGTGGCGTTATCATAAGGGACCAGACGCCACCTGGGAATCAGAATCGGAGATGCAGATGCAATATCCGTATCTGTTTAATTAATGGAATTCCGTGACAAAATTCTTTTAACGAGGGAATATTGTAATATCCGGGTTATTTTATTGGTTTTAAAATTTTAAATCTTTATGCTTATATTATATATATATATATATGTATATATATATATATATATATATTTTTTTTGGTGTGAATATGTGGGATTAGCCGACATTTTTGAGTCGGCCATACACTTGCTATTTATAGCAAGTGTATGTGAAAAGGGGAGGAAAATTTTTTGACTTTTAGAAGTTCTTGCTGAAAAACCATCTGGAGAGCAAAATCAATTGTAAAAGTGAAGATTGATATCTTGCAGATTCAATCCGTTCAAAATCTTTTATAAGGTGAGTGTATTAAAGCTTTGAGTATAAAGTTGTTTGCATACAATTTAGTAATAATTAGAACTGGTTATTATTGGTTTATAGTTCATATTGTATGGATATGTTATTAAACCGTTCATGTGGTGTCCGGATTGTTATCCGGACAAATAAATCGTTCAAGTATTAATCGGATTTACCTTAAACCGTGTAAGAGGTGACCGGTTTGCTTCTAAACCACTCAAGAGGTGTCCGGATATTGTATAAACYGGTCAAGGGTTGTGCGGTGTATTGACCGGACTATTTTTAAACCGATTAACATTGTAAGTGGGGTATTGTCCGGATTTGTAATCCGGACAAAGGTATTAACTATATTCTAAGTGTTAACCGGACAAAGCTTATACAAGGTGTTATCCGGATTGTTGACCGGATATGATATAACTTTTTATATTCTAAGTATTTATCCGGATTGCTTATCCAGACAAGGCTGACCGGATTTCTAATCCGGCTAATATGTTGAAGTATTTATGAGATGTAACGGCGGTGTGACCGTGAGAGAGATGTAACGGCGGTGTAACCGCGAGAGAGATGTAACGACGGTGTAACCGCGACAGAGATGTAACGGCGATGTAACCGCGAGAGAGATGTAACGGCGGTGTAACCGCGCGAGAGAGAGATACATGAATAAGATTATGTATCAGAAATAGGTTTGATTCTGAACTGATTGTTTGGAATGTATATTGTTTGTTGAGAATTATACACTCACTAGACCTTTTGGTATAACGCTCAGTTGTTGATCTAACCTGTTTTTGCAGGTCAGCGTACTTTGCAAGATAAAGGCAAGGGAAAAGTTTAAATGATGATATTAGTTTATTCATATATGTATTAAAGATACATTTTGTTAGTCCATGTTTTGTAATAATACTATTTTTAGTATTATGAGTATGATGATGTGAATTATATGTATATGGAATATGAGGGTTGTTTCAGCTATTCTGTCAGGGAAAGTATCCAAGGCGGGTTCAGAGCCGGCCAGATGACTCTCCATGAGTGGACTAGGAGACTGGTCGAGAGTCTTCAAGTCTTGTACACCTATTCCTTGCTCTAAACAAGGTTGGGAGTCTATACGTGCAGAGGAAACGAATTCCTCTGTATGGGAAAGTAACGTGATATGGGGAGACATATAACTTATACGTTCAAAGGTTGCACCCTTTTGAGAGGGTGTTCCCTGTGGTGAGGCTTCCCTTTGGCTATTATAACTAGAGGCAGGTGCGACCTCTGATTGGATTGGCTGGTTTGGGTTCGAGGTGTGCACCTCAGTTTCAATGACCTCCGTGTCTCGACCACCAGAGTCAGATGATTCGTTTGCACTGGGAGTTGGGGTGGTAAAACGAGTGTGCCTATTTAGCCTAGGCTGCTCTGGCTCACCCTGAGGCAGAGCAGCTTATGCACCTCCTCCCTCTTCTTCTTCCTCTTCTTCCTCCTTGCTCTCACTCTCTTCTTCCTCCTTACTCTTATTTTCTTCTTCCTCACTCTCTTCTTCTTTCTCACTCTCTTCTTCTTCCTTACTCTCCTCACTTGTATATGACCTGCAACATCGTCGAAGTGGTCTTGGTCATCCCCTTGGTTAGGACTAGAGGATTGGGCCAAGTTTCGAGGAGCTTCTGCTTCTGCTCTGAGTCTGGCCTCTTCCCTCAGACGAGCTATCTCTGCCTGTCGAGCTTTTTCTGTTCGCTCCTCCTCTGCTTGTACACGAGCAAACTCAGCCAATCTCTCTTGCTCTACTCGCTCTGCTTCTTCCTTTTTCTTCCTCTCCCTCTCTATTTTCTTTTTCCTCGCCTCCTGTCGTTTTCTTTGTTTCTCCCTCTCTTGCTCTACTCTCACCCTCTCTTCCTCTGCTCTCACCGCCTCTTCCTATGCTTGAGGCCTTAATGTGTCCTCTATTCTCTCTTCCTCGTCGGTTGTTCATATGCGTACTAAGGTTCGAGACATTGGCTCTAGTGTCTCGCGTGTACGTCTATACACTCTTCTAATCTCCTGCGTCTTCATATATGCATAGAGCTTCTTTGGAATGGGCCTTTCTGCTGCGTAGCCCTCTTTGTTGATTGTTGGCCTGTAATGAGTGAGCACGTTTACCTTGTGCGCAGGCAGACGACCCACATCAATATTTTTGTCGTCGAGAGCAGGCCTTAGGAGAAGACCCAAGAAGAGTATCAAGCAGAGATGGCAATTGTCTTCCTTTGGCCACATCTTGACATTTCTTGGCCACAGTAGCCTTGAACTTTGTGTAGAGTATCAAGGAGTAATCCAGAGATAGGTCGAAGAAGATGCCGTACAGGATTTGCAGTATGTTTGTGGAGCACATGTCGAGACTCCCAATCTTCCCAATCAGAGATCTGTTGACCACTGTGAACAGAGTGTTCCACATTGGAGGGAAGTATTGGCGACGGTACTGAGAAGGGTACTGGATTGCCTTGTTGTACCCCAAACTTTTCAAAAATGCCATGATCTCATCCCCAGATGGGAGAGGGGCGTACCATCAAGCCCTAGGTCTGTTTTTGTTGGAATTTCAAGAACGCGGGAAAACATGGACCTGGATATTCGAACAGTGACAAATTCTTTTGAGGATTAGGCATAAAAATCTCCAACGATTCCTCTTTGAGAGTCGGTAATGGCGGAAGATTGCCAGTATTCTTGGATATACCTTTCAGGGACAAAGTCATCTGTGTTTGTCAAAGCAGGGTTTAGAAAGTGGTTTTGGAGGATGTTGATGATTGGGTGGAATTTTTTGTTGAAATTTTCAAGAGAGAGATGGAGGGCATGGTTATTGGGTTTGATTGGAAGCGGAACCAAGTTTTGACTGGTTTCCTCAACAGTTTTGTGGGTTGTGGTGTGTGTTTGGGAATTTTCAGACTCGGAAGATGACATATTTGCAGGTTTTTGGGTGAAAAAGAAAGGTTTGAAGAAGGCTAGGGTTTCAAGAATCAGTTCTTGATTCTTAAAATGGGTGAAGAAAAGGATTAATAGGACTTACTTGACAAACGGGATGAAGTTTTGATGACTGAATGAAGTTCCGAAGACTGATTTGAGAGCTTGAATGGGTAACAATGGCGGTTGGAAGCTTGAAGACGACGACGGTTCTTGAATTTCTTTGTAAGCGTAAAAAGTAATTTGGGGGTAAATAATATGTTTAAATAGAAAAAATAAAGTACTCGAGTAATTGCGCCCCAAACGTCAGATTCAAAACTGAAACGGTTTTTGTTTAGCCTGTGGGGATGCGCCACGTGGACTGCCAGCTGCAAGTGGCACCTCCCACGTTTGAAAAATTATGCTCACGGGCGGTGACGCTTAGTTTAAATGATAGATATTAAAAATAATAGAATAAGAACCATACGCCTTCTTTAATAAAATAATATATTTTAGATTTTCAAAAAAAATTCAAAGTGTAAATACTCTGGTTTGTGTAAAATAGAGATTTTGAAAAGAACCAGAGTACTATATGAAGAGAAGGACAAACATACCTTAGGACCTCATACAGAGACTCGTGATTGAACTTATACATCTCCTCTGTGTGAAAAAAAAACTTGCTATGTATGTACTATACAAAGGCTCTGTATCACAAGACAACTGGGACTTGAGCAAGAGGCTCTGCATGTATTATGCAGAGGCTCTACATGTACTATGCAGAGGCTCTGTCTCATGGATCAGTACAATAAACAAAACAGAAGTATGCGAAAGGGATGTAGAGGCTCTATATAGTGCATATAGAGGCTCTGGCTTAGTTGGAAAGATTGAGCATACCCAACTTGCTAACCAAAAAGTTAAATCTCTTTTCATCAAGAGATTATGTAAAGATGTTAGCAAGTTGTAAATATGTACTAACAAAGAACATTTCAATCGTACCTTTCTCTACATGGTCCTTGATGAAATGATAGCGAACATCGATGTGCTTTGTTTTTGAGTGTTGCACATGATTAGTTGTGATTGTGATAGCACTTTATGAATCACACAGAATTGGAATTTTATCACACTCTACGCCATAGTCTTTCAGTTGAGTCTTCATTCATATCACTTGGGAACAGCAACTGGCTGCAACTACATACTCTGCTTCAGCTGTAGAAGTAGAGTCGCAGTTCTGCTTCTTTGAGGTCCAGCTTATGAGCTTGTCCCCAAGTAATTGGCAGCTCCCTGATGTACTCTTTCGATCAAGTTTATAACCTGCATGATCAGAATCTGTGTACGTGATAAGATCAAAACCAGAATACTTTGGATACCAAAGACCCAAAAATTGAGTCCGTTTAAGGTATCTAAAGATTCTTTTTACAGCCGAAAGGTGAGATTCCTTTGGATTTGCTTGAAAACGTCCACAGAGACATATGGCAAATATGATGTCTGGTCTACTAGCCGTGAGGTATAGCAGTGATCCAATCATTCCACGGTAAGTCTTAACATCCATCGGTTTTCCAGATGGATTTGTGTCAAGCTTAGTTCCCGTAGCAATTGGTGTTCTTATAGTGGAAGAGTTGTGGAGTTGGTATTTCTTTAATATGTCAAAGACATACTTAGCTTGGCTAATAAAGATACCGTCCTCCCTTTGTTTTACTTGCAAGCTGAGGAAGAATGTTAATTCTCCCATCATGCTCATTTCAAACTCGCACTTCATCAATGCAGAGAACTTATCACAATGCCTCTGATTCGTTAAACCAAAGAAAATGTTGTCCACATAGATATGTACTAAGAGCATTTCACCTTTATATCTCTTAATAAACAAAGTTGTATCGATTTTTCCTTTTTCAAAACCATTAGACATGAGAAAAGACGAGAGATGTTCAAACCAGGGTCAAGGTGCATGCTTAAGTCCATACAGAGCTTTGTCCAAGAAGTAGACGTACTCTGGGTGTGTGGAGCTTTCAAACCCCGGAGGTTATTGAACATAGACTTCCTCCTTTAGCTTACCATTCAAGAAGGCTGACATAACGTCCATTTGATAGACTTTGAATCCCTTATGTGCAGAGAAGGCTAAGAACAAGCGTATAGCTTCTAGCCTTGCTACTGGCGCAAAGGTCTCGTCATAGTCTACGCCTTCTTCCTGGCAATAACCTTTTGCTACGAGCCTAGCTTTATTTCTCACCACGATCCCATCCTCATCCTTCTTGTTCCTGAAAACCCATTTACAGCCAATTGCAATTTTATCCTTTGGCAAAGGTACAAGAGTCCATACCTTATTCCTTTCGAATTGTTGGAGCTCTTCTTGCATGGCGTCGACCCAACTAGGGTCTTGTAGGGCTTCATGGACTTTCTTAGGCTCTACCATGCTTAGAAACTTTACGAATAAACATTCATTAGCCGTGGCAGCCCTAGTCTTTACACCACTTGAAAATTCACCAATGATCTGGTGTAGAGGATTATCCTTTGTCCATCTTGTTCTTGGGACATATACAGAGGTAGGGGACATTTTATCATGTTACATAGGCATATTTGGCATTGAGCTCGTTAATGGCGAAGAAGGTTCTACTTGCTCCCCCTCAGATGATGGTACAGAGGAACCAGGTGCAGAACCAGAGGTATCATGCTCTGGCTCTACGAGACTGGGCTATGATGCATAACTTGTTTGCTCTGGTTGTGGATTGGCATGATCTCGAGAGGAAGCAGAGGTGTGTGAAGGACCAGAGTCAGATGTACTTGTCATTTATGGTTCTTCACTTACACTTGCAGATTCATCTCTTGGTGCACGTACAGAGATGTCTTCGTCACCATAGAAGTCTTCAAATAAGAGCTTGAATTCCAATTCCCTTCACTTCATTTGAGAATTGGAAATCTTTTTATTAAGTTCGAGTCCAGAGCTGAGGTACTCTAAAGTCAGTTGTTCTTTATCGTCAAACGAGACGTTAATGCTTTCCATTACCGTATTGGTTCGTTGATTGAAGACTCTATATGCCTTGGCTTTTGTGGAATAACCAAGGAACTTGACTTCATCGGCCTTCTTATCAAACTTGCCAAGTTGCTCTCGATCATTCAGGATGAAGCATCTTCAACCAAAAACATGCAAAAATTTAACGTTAGGCTTTCTTTGGTTGATTTGTTCATAAGGCAGTTTCATATGCCTCTTTACCACCGTTGCTCTATTTTGAATAAAGCAAGCGGTCGAGATGGCTTCAGCCCAAAAATGGGTTGGAAGACCAGAGCTGGCTAGCATGGTTCTTACTGCTTCGACCAGAGTTTGATTCTTTCTTTCTACCACACCATTTTGTTGTGGTGTCCTTGCTGTAGAGAAGTTCTAAGTTATGCCCTCTGTGTCCAAGTACGCATCAATCTTGGCGTTCTTAAACTCTATTCCATTATCACTTCTCAGCCTTTGAATTTTGCTCTGTAAAAGTACTTGAATCTTGGTCATCAGCTTGATTAGTAGCTCAGGGACATCTGATTTCTGCCTTACAAACTCAATCCAAGTATATCGTGAGTATTCATCAATTAAGACTAAGATATACTTCTTACCAGACAAGCTCTGCACAGAGATTAGACCACAAAGATCCACATGAAGCATATATAGAGGTCTGACACAAGACACATCTGTCTTAGTTCTGTGGGATGCTCTTTTGAGCTTTCCCATTTCACATGCAGAGCAGAGATGGTCCTTTTCGAACTTTATGGCAGGAAGTCCGTCAACCAGATTATTCTTCACAAGCTTCTCTATATTTTGGAAATTGAGATGAGACAGCTTGTGGTGCCAGAGTCAAGCTTCTTCACACTTGCAAGACAAGAGACAGAGAGTCTCTGAGTTATCTCTTGGTGAGAAGTTCATGAGATAGAGATTGCCCTTTCTCTTGGCTCTTAGCAACTTCTGACCCGATTCTGACATAATGGAGCAAGCTTCCTTTTGGAACTTGACATTGTAGACAGAATCACATAGTTGACTTATGCTCAAGAGATTATGTTTAAGCCCAGAGACATAAGCAACCTTAGAGATAGAAACCTTATCTTGTAGTAGATCTCCATATTCCTTTATTTCTTCTTGCATGTTATCCCCAAAGGTCACTTTTCCTCCAATCTTCTCTCTGTATGAGGAAAGAAACCTCTTATTGCCGGTCATGTGTCTTGAGCATCCGGAGTCAAGATACCAAATGTCCACATGCGGCTTCTACAAAACAAATTATAGGGATTTAGGTACCTATTTCATAATGGGTCCTCGACGATTAGGGACAGAGATTAACTTTTTAGGCTTTGGGAGAGGCTTCATCTCTTCACTTGAGTTACCAGACTTGGCTTTAGGAGCCTTCTTTCTCTTTTGGGTCTTCTTGGATTTGGTCCTTGATGACTCAGAGAGAAGACAATTAGGGACAGAGAAATGCTGCTTTAACTTGCGCAGCAGAGAGAAACATTCACAATTTTGAATGGCAAAATGATTTATTAGATTTAAAGAACAAATTATTACAATCATTCCTAGCATTGGTAGTTCTAACAAACTTCCTATCTAGATCTAATTGTTTAGACAAAGAATGAGTCTTCTCTGTTTTCTTCTTCCCTACTCCTTTGGCCTTTAGAGGCCTCTCTGAAACAGAGGAATTAATATTAGAGCATGCAACGGATTTTTCCATCTGTTCCAGAATGAATTTAATCGGCTTAGATTTGGAAATTGCGCCCTTTGATGCAGAAGAAACAGACTTTGTACTCTTAACGCTGTATTCAAACTTGGGAGCGGATTTAGCACTTGTTGCCCTGCTTATACGGCCAAAACCTAGTAGAATCTTTCTCTCAATAGGAGATTTTGCAACCTCTGGTTCATTGACTGTGACCTCTGTCTTAACTTCCTCCTTAAACGAGTCCACCTCTGACTCAGAGTTAGAGTCAAGAAAATCCTTATGTGAATTTCGAAATACAGAAGTATCATTAAGAACTTGAGATTTTCGTATGCATGAGCTAGAAGCTTCATTCGTCTTTTGTATTCTGGGACTTTCAAAAGTTTTCGAGGAGTTACACTCAGAAGAATCTGCATGACCTTTAGTAGGATAATTCAAGGTCTCAAGCAAGTCTTGCTCGAAAACCTGTCTTATTGTTTCTGTGGAGTCATCCAATATTTTTGGATCCAGAGTTTTAAGAAAATTTCATGTGGATGAACTCTTGATTTCATCTGGTTCAGGTTTGACAACCTCATTCTCAGTCTTAGGATGTTCGAGATTTGTAAAGCCAAAACAAAAAATATCGTTTGTTTTCTGTATGCACTTTAAATCAACTTGCGGCACACATTTTGAAGAGTAAGAAATATTTTTGAATTTCAACTTTGGAGTTCTGGATCCACTTTCAAGCCTACATTTTTTAAATGGTGAGGTTGTTTCGCCCAACCTAAACACTGATTCATCAGTATTTTTCTTCTTCCAGGTAAGGTCTAGGTCTGTATAACCTATCCCTGCTTTGTCCTGTTGAGAATTTACTTTTTCGTACACCTGCTGAGCATCTTGATATTTCTTGATCAAGAGCTCTTTTCTTTGTAAGCTATGGTGTAGGAACTCCTTTTCCTTTTGAAAATAGTCTTTTAGGACCTCAGAGTTTAATCTGTCTCTTTCCTTTTGTAGAAGCTCTATTTCTTTCTTCTTAATTGCCGCTTTTAAGTCTAAGCACTCTGTTATAAGACTTGTTTCAGTGGATCATTTTGTTTGTAAAAGTTTTTCATTTTTCACTGATAACTCTTGTTTCTCTATAGTTAGCAGCTCTGTCTCTCATTCAAAAAATAGTTTTTCTTTTTCCAAAGATTTCCTTTTGGATTTTTCGACAGAGAGCTTTTCTTGTAGATTAACGAAATCGTTAGTCAAAGCAGAGATGCTCTCTTCCAGGTCAGAGTGAGAATATCCAGAGATAGAACATACCTGGGAGTCGGAATCAGATCCAAACTCTTCTCTTTCATTCTCGACAGCCATCCCACAGAAGTTGGCTTGGTCTTCTTCATAAGATAAGGAATCAGAGACCCAATTCTCTTGTTCTGCCATGAGGCTTCTTTGTGATCGATTGTACTTGTACTTGTTTTTATAGTACAGTTCATCTTTCACTAGAGGGCCTCTGCACTCTTTGGAGTAGTGCCCCATCTTCCTGCATCTAAAGCATCGAACCCCTTGCTTCTTCTGGTCCAATGGCTCTTCCTTCTTCTTGTTGCAAACAGATGGAGGGTTCCTTCCTTCATAAGCTCTGCCTTTGGTACAATCATTTTGTCTTCCTCATTTGTCAAAGGCCTTCTTCCTAAACTTCCTTTGGAATTCCTTGGTGATCAGGGCCAAGGATTGCGCAAAGGCGTTTATGTCGTCGTCTTCAGAGCTAGTTGCTCTGTCTTCTTCATCATCACTCTCCAAGATGAGATCCTTCTTTCCTTTTGTTCTCTCTTCTTTGGTTCTTCGTTCTTTGTGTGACTGGCTTGATCCTGTCTCTTTTGAATCAGAGACAAGAGCCAGAGGTCCACCCAGAGCTACCTTGGCTTTCTACACCCCTTGTTCATGAGCCTGCAGAGTCCCGTACACGTCGTGCAATGTCCATTGCTCCAGATCTTGATTTGTCTGGAGGGACATCGTCAGGTTTCCTCATTCTGCATTCAATCTCTTCAAGAAGAGCATGTTGTTCTCCTCTTGAGTTCTGATCACGTCACATTTGCGACATTTGTTGATCAGAGTATTAAAGCGGTGATAAGTCTATTCTAAAGACTCATCGGGGAGTGCCTGGAAGCTGTTGTATTCATTCAGGCATTGGGCATGACGATTTTTCTTCATTTTTATGCCTCCTTCCAACTGGTTAGCCAGTTGATCCCACAAATCCTTGGCGGAGTCGCACGCGTCCAGAGATTGGAAAATCTCATTGGGAAGCGCCATGATCAAAAGTCTTTTGGCCTTTTGATCCACTTCCACTCTGCGTTCATCTTCATCGTTCCAGTCACAACGAAGTTTGGGTACTCGCCTGGCAGGTACCTCAACTGTATCACCAGTAGCAGGAATTCGAGATATGATGGTGGTAGGGACGTATGGGCTATTTAAAATTGATTTGTAAAGTTCTAGGTCTAGACCCTCATAGAAATTTATCATCTGAATCTTCCATTGGGGATATTCTTCCCTAATGAGAGTCGGAGGTTTTGTCAGGGAACCGGCACTATACATAGAGTTCCACGATTGAGATGACGACATCTTAAATCAAAATTTTGAGAAGAAAACTTGATGAGAAATATAATTGATAGAAAAACGATTTCCAGATTACGTAAAAGCAAACGTTTTAAAATCGAGAAAAATATGAGTGAAAATTCTTTTAAAACGAATAATCAAGAAAAATTAAGAGTAGAATCCAGTCGGATATCGATCGACTAATCAATGAATTTGATTAGCAGGCTCTGATACCAATTGTTGAACCCAGATACTCTTAATTGGTAGAAACACAGTTTATAAAAGATATGAATTAAACACAAACAATGTAACTTGAATGATTAAACGAAATATTCAAGATGAAAGTAAAAACAATGAGTAAACTTGAATATGTCGAATGCTTTTATTGATAAAACGATGAATAATTGAAGCAAAACGTAATCTCACAGAATATGCGTATAGTATAAGTCGGTTCCTTTAGGTAATTTAAACCTAAGGCATAAGCCTCCTTATATACGCCTAGGTCTAACAAACTATGCTATAAAATAGGCGTGAAACTCTGAGCTGACCGGTCTGCATCCTTATCTTTGACTTCCCTTGAATAGCGGAGTAGACTTGGTCAAGCCGCCTCAAATCTGTTAGATGCTTACGATAATGTCTGGGCTAACACGCGCGCGTTCCATGGAGAAGGTAGCCAGAAGCTTTGCATGTACTATGCAGAGGCTCTGCATGTACTATGCAGAGGCTCTGGGTCTTGGAGTTGTAACTTGGTGTCAAGCGCTTATGCTTTTTGGCGCACAAGGCTTGATCGTCCATGGGCATAGAGTGCGGGCTCTATATGAATGGAACATTCACCCTTGAGTAAGAGCTCTGGTTCGTGATCTTCTGCATGAGAGCTCTTAGTCCAGACCGTTTCACTAGACTAAGTCCTATTGACTAGAGTAAGAGACTTCTTCCTTACACTTTCACAAGTTGGGGTCTAACAATTATAATTAAATGACTCAAAAATGTGAAATTTTCAACTTATTTAGTAAATAGTGTAATTCTCATACCTCATTTCCCAAATACCCTGAAGAAAGTCTGCCCAACAGTTGGCCCCAAAACTCCTTTTCAGGAAACAAATACTCTAGCATCGATAAACGTACCATGGGTAACCGATCAGCATCATACAATTGAGCAACGTCTTCAATGGACGTTGTGGGCATCGATGAGGGCATTTGGTCAACAACTTTCTTGTCCTTCTTTTTGCCTTTCAGCATCGTATAAGGAGATGAGATCCACCGCGATTTCTTGCCCACTCGCTTCGCAGGAGCATCGGGCATACAAACATCTTCTTTCGACTCGACAAATGGGACTTCGCATGATGTAGATGCCGCAGCATCCATCGCAAGTTGATGTTGCGGCATAGACTGTGTACGCATAAGCCAAGATAAATTAAAAAGTTTATCTAATTTAATTATTAACTTCATAAATAAAAACATTATAAAACTTAACATATTTACCGTATCCTAAAAGTTGTAGGGCGCCGATATGTACTATGTACATACAATCCAATATAAATTAATTTTTTAATATAATTGTTAACTTTTAAATTAAAATCAATAAAACCTTAAACATATTTAGTGCATCCATCGTTGGAAATTGATTTGTCCAAGGTGTGTCCACATTAGGGCTGTAAACGAACCGAACGAACACGAATGGAGGTTTGTTCATGTTCGTCCGTTTAACTTAACCGAACAAATGAACGAACACGAACGGTAAACGAACGAAAATCTTTGTGTTCGTGTTCGTTCGTTTAGAAATAATGTGTGTTCGTGTTCATTTATGTTCGTTCGTTAACATGCTAAACGAACGAACATAAACGAACGGGCTAAACGAACATAAACGAACATAAATAAATATTGTTTGAATTCAATGTAAATAAAAAAAAGATTATATATTAAATTTAATATATAAACGATCATAAACGAACGAATATAAATGAACGTAAACGAATGGTAAATGAACGAACATTCACGAACATAAATGAACGAACGAGACTTTTGTTAATGTTCGTTCATTTAATTAAACGAACAAAAAAATTGTTCATGTTTGTTCATTTATTAAATAAAGAACATAAACGAACTTCCCGCCGAACGGTTCGCTGAACGTTCGGTTCCTTTACAGCCCTAGTCCACATGCATCATCGGTGGCTGATACTGCGACATCTAATATAAATTTATTGTTTATATAATTGTTAACTTGTAAATTAAAACATCAACAAAAATAAACACTCTTACATAGACGTCATGTAGATGATTGTATCATGAAGGATCAGCCGTAGGTCCTTGTCCACGCACATCGTTAAAAAATATCGCTTCGAGTGACCCATATCTTTCGTTTATAAGGTCCGTAACCGAAGCGAGCTTCTCATCGACCTCAACACAATGTTGGCGCCATTCATCACGAAGTTGGACGTCGGTATATGTAAACGATGAATGGCGATGTTGTTGCTCATATTCTGGTCTATGAGAAGTGTGCGCTGCAAATGACTGACGTGGTCCTGATGGTTGGACTTCGTCGTCAGCGTCATTATTCTCTGACTAACCCATCCCTTGATCGGGGTTCGGCTGTCCATAATAATTGGTTTTTAACAATTCCCTGCTTTCTATCCACCACTGGGCCGACTCCTCCAAACATGTCGGTACCAACTTGGTCAGGGGGCGAGACGATTTCTATAAATATATAAATCAAAAAAAATTTGAAACATACATAACAAAAAAAATTGTCAAATATTAAAATTATAATAAATGAAACCAAACCTTGCCAATAGTGGATAGAGCGCATCACTCTTCCCATTTCATCATCTTATTTCGTTTCCATCCAATAGCCCTCGGGAAGGAAGGACTATAACCAAAAAAGGGTTGGGCTCCGGGCAATGTCTCCAAGATCCATATATGATAGGTTACGAAAAAAAATAGATGGTGAGAGAATGCAAATTAATTAGTAAATAAGATATTTTAAAAAAAATTAACCGACCTTGAAGGCATATATGAACCCATATAGTGTATATTTCGAGGGAGGCTAATTGTTGTATCTGCGCCGCTCGAAAGCATTTTTTAGCTGTGGATTTGTCAGACGTCATATGTATGAGCCCCATGGGTATCGGTTCCAGGACTCCAGATTATCAACCAGACGCAAAATCCAGTTTTCAAAGTTGTGGTTTTTCTTTCGTCCCAGAAAAAAGAGTGGAGCATGACTACGAGGCAGACACGCACCGCGTCATCGTCTGATAGGTTATTTAAGTCGGACATTTTATTTCTAAAATGTTTCGACTTTAGTATTAGAAATATTGTTTGGAAACAATCTTCTAATAATATTGGGCACGGTACAATGTGACGGGCGAAGATCCGGCTCAAATTTTAAACCTGTGATCAGACAGAACTCATGTCTGCCGAACCGTAAGTGGAACTCATGTCATTAAAGACTCATAAAATACCTTGAAAAAAAAATTAATTTGTATAATATATACATACATTAATATATATATATATATAGATAGATGCATATATATATATATATATAGATACATACATACAAAAATTGATATTTACATATATACGTATATATGTGTACGTATTTATATACGTATATATATACATGTATGTTAAAAAAATAGAGAATTTTTACCGGTTTTCGTAAAAACGACATATGTATGTATAGACATACAAAAATGGATATTTACATATATATGTACATATATGTACGTATATATATTTACGTATATATACATATGTATGCACGTATGTATATATATGCATATATATACATGTATATGTATGTATATACATACATGTATATATATATATACGCAAATATATATAGACATACATGTATATACATACATACATACATACATACGTATGTATATATATATATATATAATAAGATAGATACATAGAGGAGCGCTCAAATAAAAACCACCCAATTTGTACAAACCGTGCAAACCTCATTCAACCAATCATATTTTTTCATATTGTTCATTTTTTGTAATTATGAGAAGTTGATTAACCATTTTAATTGTGGAGGGTGTTAATCATGGATATTATCATCTTCATTATTTTAATTTTAGAAAAATACATGAAACAGTTTAATTAAAATTTCATTAAATATTATATGAAAAAATTTCATAACCATATATGAAACAAATTAATCAAAAAAATTATTATATGAAATAATTTCACAAGATTAAACAATTTCATGAAAAATTTTCATAAGATTAAACAATGAAATCGACGTATGAGGGTGGTTTGTACGGTTTGTACAAATGAGGGTGATTTTCATTTTATCGCTCCTCTAGATACATACATATATATATGAGCGATCAAATGAAAACTGCTCTCATTTGTGTAAACCATATAAACCAATCGCATCCATCCATTTTCTTGATCAATGGTTAAGATTAGTTTAGGTTATATTAAGAAATTAAAAAAAAAATTATTTTATAATTCCAAAAAGGGCAAAATGGTAACTTTGGTAGTGGTAATATTAATGGCAACCGTATCATGTATATCGTAATATTAATGAAACAAAATCATTTGTAAATAATATATTAATTTTATGTTCAAATATTATAAAAAAATAACATCCATCATTAAAATAGATCAACAATAAAAATAAAACACACTATAATCAATTTAACATAATGAAACCTTCTGAATAATAATAATAAAAATTACTACTACATTTCATTAACGAAATGGTTTCACAGTTTCATCAATACACAAATCAACGTAATGCTAGATGARACATTTGTCATTTTCAAGTTTCCGGTAGATGGATCCGTTTCAATCTAATTATGAAATAGTTTCACTGTTATTGGTAGATGGATCTGTTTCATCGTAATAATGAAATGGTTTTACTGTTCGCTAATTACACAACATTTTCTTATCAATTATGAAATGGTTTCACTTTCTTCATGCACCCATTTCATCAGCCAATTTCTTCCAATACGAAGATGTTTCATAGAGTCAATGCATTTACCATTACATGTTTGGTTAACCATTAAGTGAATAAAATCATCCAAAAAAAAAATGAAACAAATTCATCAAATATTGTTGATAAGAAAACAAGATTATGCAAGAATATTATATTACGCAACCAGTTTATCTCCAAAAGTTTCATAAAACAAGCTCCTCAATGAACATTTTCACAAACCAATCTGCATACGTTTCATAAAACAAGTTTCTCAATTACGTTTTCATGAACAAATCTAACATGAATCTGTTTCACAGCTGATTATATTTTTACCGATTCATGAATCTTTGTTTGAATCTGTTACTGATTTCGTGGATTAATGAATATAATAATTTTCGATTTTCATATTATTACCACTAATAAACTGAGAAACCAAATAACAATATTCAAACTTTAAAATTATAATTTAAATAAACATTTAAATATTACCATTTATAAAATTTCCTTTATTATGTTACCTTAATTAAGATTTATTAATAACTTTCATATTTAGTATAAAACAATGTAAATGACAAATCTACCCTTAATGATTAAATTTAATTAAGGAAAAAAAGAATTTTCCTATTGGTCGAAATTAGTTTACACGGTTTATAAGAATTAGACGGTTTTCATTTGATTCCGCCTCTATATATATATATATATATATATATAGATAGATAGATAGATAGATAGATAGATAGACAGACAGACAGACAGACAGACAGACAGATAGATATATATACTAGTAGTGTACCCCGCGCGATGCAGCGCTGATGAATTACAATTTTGAAATCTTAGTCTGGCCCAAAATTATGAGTTTGTGTGGTTATTTTGCAAATCAACCTGAAACAGTTTGTGAATCATAATCGTTTGTTGTATTTATTTCTTTTCTCATGAATTGCATCATCTTTTTGTAGAAAAAACCTCAAGTTGTCACTCTACACCCACTAAGCCGTTTACCAAATACTTACCCAGTAAGTGCTTATCCGTAAAATTTAACACTATTATTTACTTACCGGGTAAGATTTTAGTCCACCAAAAACGACATCGCATGTAACAATTTACCCGGTAAGCGCTTACCGAGGTAATAGTCGTCTCCCTCACTTACCGGGTAAGACTCTTGGTCCTTGTCTCGCTCTTACTGGGTAAGATTATTGGTCCTATCATATTCATCCGGTGAGGTAATGCAACTTGGTAAGCGCTTACTCGAGTAAGTGTTTGGCAAACTGCCCCAAGGTTGGAAAGAGGACCGGACAACGGTGCTGCTTAAGTTATTAATGCATATTTTGTATATAATGTACAAGGCTTTTTTATGTTTATCTGCAAATTGTAATCTGGTACTTTTATACGGTTAAAACAGGCAATTTTCAATTCCATATATATATATATATATATATGTATATACATTTGATTTTTACAAACTATGCCAAAAGTCCTGATAAATGATATTATGCATGAAATAGAAGTAGTAAAAGGGTCGTTTTCCCAAATACTTACCCGGTAAGCGTTCATCGGTAGAAGTCGACACTATAATCTATTTTACTAGATAAGATTGTAGTATATTAAAACGGTATCGTATGCAACAATTTACCCGGTAAACGCTTACCTGGGTAAGAATCTTCACCATCCTTTATAAGATGAGATGGAAGATTAAGCATCAGTTTGCACAGAAATGGAATTTTCATCCTTCGGTATCTCTCCACCAAATCCCAATTGTGCTTTTCTATGACCATTTTTTTGATACCTAAGACAATACATCAGCATATATGCATCACTTGAAAAGGATTGTTTGTACATGAGTAGTAGTTTCAGGAGATGAAGCATGCAGCCCAGACATATTCACATGGTTTCCATTTACAACACCATCAGGTAAACAACAATATCAGTAATGTGAATTTTACACTCGGTGGACTTTTAACACAACTACAAGGTTATTAGTAGGAGTTTAACATTAGGTAAATATTATACACTCAGATTCGTTAAAATCTTTTACCCATACATCCATGTAAGAAACTAAAACTACAAAGAACCAAACCAAAGTAAACCAAACAAACCCAAGAAAATTAGAAAGAATGTTCTTTATAAAAATGAAAGAACGAAGCATGAGCTGTTAACAGAAAGAGAGTCGATACAATTAGGAAGCTTATTACAAAAGCAATTATAAACTAAAAAATAACAAGGAAATTAACATTATAGCTAAAACCACCTTTTATAAGAAATAGCCAAAACTAAGATCAAAATGACAATTTTATAGTACATCATCACACCTCCATTTCCTGAAACAACTTAGCATATTAAGCAGGTTATCATAGTCTACCATGCATGCATGGGAAAGATTTTTGATTGATAAGAGACCAACCAAGCGTATGTAAAGATACAAAAGAGAGCTTATCCTCAAGATGTGTTTATACCTGATGAAGAAACAATTGTTGTTGAAACTTAAAGCACACAAACACAACCAGTTGCTGTTGAAACTGTAAGCACACAAACACAACCAATAAGAACAAAACAGTAGGAACATTTTGGCTCTCAATCATGTGAAATAAAACAGTAGGAAACAAGCTGAGCAATTGGTTTGAGGAGCAGCAGTAGTTGATCAAATGGAGCAGTATTAGTTGATCAAATGGTTGTGGAGAAACAAGCTAAGCAATTAGTTTGAGAAGCATTTACATAAAACATAAAAGTTTTGAGGAGCATTTACATGAATTAAATTCACCCAATATATGTATTTCAAGACCTTGACTTTGAAAGCAACATATCAAGAACCAATTTTTGTTGGTAAACATATATATGTTCATTTTGAGAACAACAACATATTAATGGACAGAATATGGAGTTCCTATGTCTACTTTAATGTTTTGTATGCTTTTGACATTGTCTTTCATGTTATTGACTGATTCTTTTTTTGTTTGTTGAAGTCTTAGCTTGTTTGTTGTCTGCTTTATGACAGTAGCAGGATTCATCACACACAGTAACCCATAGTCGATCAAAAGTACATATCACAAACTCTGTAAGAAACCTTCAAATTTGAAACCTTTATATCATTTAACTCAACCTCAAAAACAAAAGCATGAATTTGAATTTGGGATGAGGCTGAGAGATTTCTGGAAGATTTTTTTTGGGGGGGGGGGGGCTGAATTTGAATTTGAAACCTTTATGTGATTTAACTATGCTCAAAGGCTTTAACAATTTATATCAATCGCATACTGCGAAACATACATATCAAATATACTACTTCCCTCTGCTCAAAGGCCTTAAACCTGCAGTGTCACTTATTAGAATAAGGTAAACGGACCACAATCCTCACTATTTTAAATGCATACAAAAGGGACATAGGCCAACCAAAGTAATAAAAAGCAAGTCCATTATATTTACAGAAAAGGCATAGAAGAGGGGCTATTTGAACCACCACCTCCAGCTGCTCTTATGAGTTTTGCTCATGTTATTTTAGCCTAATGACACCACAAAAACAAGTACATTATATTTAGACAAAGCAAGTCCATACATATATGGATGAGGCGAATCTTGTTTATAGAAACAAGAGCAACAAAGTCCTGAGAATCCAACAGTAGGTTTCATTCACCCTTGGTATTTTTGGTTAATGTTAAAATGATACTATTTGTTGATGAATTTTGGTACTTTTTGGTTAATGCAAACAATTCCTGCCATGATTTATAGCAGAATCTTGATAGATGCAAACAATTTCAGCCTTGAATTTTGGTATTTTGGTCAATGTCTTGTACAACATCTATTTGGTTAATGTCTTGTGGAACTTGGTCATCATGGTACAAAAGTTAATATCAACATTTGTTTGCAACTTGTTTGGTAATCATTGTACCAAGGTTTCATTCACCCTTCTTAGTCTCATAATTCCAGGTTCCATTCTTTTTGCACCAAGGTAGATGTTCAACAAAAAAAACATTTTCTATTGAAACAATGATCAGATTACAGCTTAATGCTAATATATTTCTTCTAAATATTTGGCATATACCTATCACGAAATTGTTACTCTATTTAACTTAATAGAAATTACCTTCTCTGGTGGAAGATCAAAGCAAAGATTTCCACAGGAAAGGATAATACCATCTGCCTCTTGCAAAATCTCATCAAAGTGAGTTAGACCCTGTAAAAAATTAAGATGTAAATGGATAAACTCCAACTTAATTTTAGAATCTATGCAGAAGCTTACAGGTAATAAAAAGCAAAGAAGAGGGGCTATTTGAACCACCATCTCCAAGGTGTAACCACCTAAGGGGAAAAACTAAATGCTTGAGAACAATCAACACAGCTGGTCTTATGAGTTTTGGTCATGTTATTTTAGCCTAATGAGTGCCAGACAGATTAATATCATCATTTGTTTGCAACTTTTTTGGTCATCATTATACCAAGGTTTCATTCACCCTTGTTAGTCTCATAATTCCAGGTTTCATTCTTTTTGCACAAAGGTAGATGTTCAACCAAAAAAAACCATTTCCCACTGGAACAATGATCAGATTACAACAAAATAACCAATGAAGAACTGATCAAATTACAGCAAAAAAACCAACTGAAAACACTGGATGCAGAAAAAACCAAAAAAAATCCAACTAATCAATTGATTATCCTAAAATGAAATCATCGTAGAAACATCACTTGTAAACAAACAAGGGGTTTGTTTATAGAAACAACCTAAAGTAAAATCCATGAAATCAAGATAGAGATGAAGCGTACAGTGAACATATTGAGAGATAGAGATGAAGCGTACCACAACATATGAACCTATAGAACCCTGTAATTAAGACCATGAAATCATTAGGGTTTTGAAATGGAACTGGAGAAATCAAAACTCAAATTTCAGGTTATATGCACAGGATGAGGTCATCTTGGGAGCCACGAATTTGATACATCAAATCAGCCATTTGTGCAAAGGTATTAGCAATGGAAGAAAGCGAGGTCTGATCCTTACAAACTGGTTTTGAAGCATAGGGGAGAGATGGAAAAGGAAGAAGAAGACTGTCAATAGAAAAAAGAAAGGTACGACCTTACCAAAATGGTTTTGGCGCACAGGGATAGTTGTTGGAGTAGAGGACTTTACAT